CCCAAAAAAACCTCTCAAAAAAAAAAAAAAAAAAAAAAGCCCAGGGAGGCCAGCTGCAGCGATGTGCACTAAGACACTGTTTTCTGCAGGCTGAACTACATGGGGGCCCAGGTTCAATTCCTGATCTAAGCTAAAGGCTGGGTGCAGTGGTATGCATCTGGAATCCCAGTAACTCAGGAAGGTCGAGGCAGGATGAAAGGAAGTTTGAGGATGGGTCTGAGCAACACAGCAAGACTGAGAAATCAAAGGAGAAAAAAAAAAAAAAAAAAAAAGCTGGGGGAGCTCTGGGTATGCAACCTCTATTCCAAAATTCAGCATACTCTAGCTAGTTTTCTGTATTAAAGAAATGTGACTTGGGTCAACAGGTAGTATAGTGGTTAAGGTGCTGAATTCCCACACGTTCGATGATAGTTTGAGCCTCAGACTTGGCAGCTTGAAACTTACACAAGGCACGCATGTGTATGTACCCAAAATCTTAAAAGAATGGAAAAGGGATTGCAATATGGTCATCCCCTCTAGGGGGTGATTTCTCACTCTCTTTCTCTCTATCTCTGCAGCAAACACACTTGCGATATAGCAAAAACAAACAAACAAACAAAAAAAAACCCACACCTCTCTCAAAAAAACCATACAGCTTTATTCTTTCTTCTTAAGTTTTGTTACAGGGGTTATGCAAATGCTGTAGAGAAACACAGAGAACAAGGAAGAGAGAAAGAAAGTGAGAAATCACCCCTTAGGGAAGATAGCCACACTGAAATTCCTTCTCCATTCTCTCAGGATTTTGAGTACGCATGCACATGTGCCTGGCATGGTTTTCAAGCTGCAGAGTCCAGGACTTGAACTGTGCAGTTGGCCATGTGAAATCCAAGTACCTTAACCTCCATGCCATCTGCTGGCCTAACTTTATTAAGTATCATTTTATTCTTTTCTTTTAACTATTTTATTGAACTTTAATTAATTAACTAATTAACTTATTTTAATTTGACCAGAGAGATGCAGAGTGAGAGAGAGACAGAGAGACAGAGAGAGAGAGAGAAAGTGAGAAAGCAAGATGCCAGGTCTGGGACTCAAATCGCAGTTGATCATGTGGGAGTCCAGCGACCTTACGCACATGCCAACTGCTGGCCCCAAGTATCATTTTACTCTAAAAAATTATTAGATACAAACAATTTAAGTGATGTCACAGTAAAGAAAACAACAATAGGACAAACCTTTCTCAGAGAAGAACAAAATAACTGGGGCTAAAACCTAAGTGATTTTCCATTTAATAAGAATGACTCATGGGGCCAGCAGGTGACATGATGGTTAAGGCACTGGATTCCCACACGGTCAACCACGGCTCAAGTCCAGGATTTAGTGTTTTGAAAAACACACAGGGTGCGTGTGTGTGCATGTCCCAAATCCTGAGAGAAAAATGGAAGTGGTCATCCCCCTGGGGGGGTGATTTCTCAACTTCCCTCTTTCTGTCTCTCTCAGGTGATCACAGGTACCCTATAGTAAATTACAGAATAGAAAAGAAGAGAAAAGAGAAGAGGAGAGGAGAGGAGAGGAGAGAAAAGAAAAGAATTGCAATGTAACTATGTTGCATGACTAGGAGGCACCTTCCCTCTCTGTCTCTAGCAAGTGCACACCCCTCTGTCAAAATTTTTTTTTAATGAATTACTCAGATTCTCTCAGTTTTAAAATTCTAAAATCATTGCATACTTTATAGTCTAGAACTCTAAACTTTTAATTCAATACTGACCAATAACCAAAAAGTGAAACACCAAAAACCAACCCCCAAAGCCCTACTATATTCCTGGCCTTCCTCATACACTCAGGCCACTTCTCTTTTAGGCATTGTGCAGATACAGGCCTAATCCACTGACCCCAACACGCTCCACTTTACTCATCTGAAGGTGGGCGATGATCCCTCAACGTCACCTATTTAGCTCTGCAGCCACTTGCCAGGTGGGTAGCCATGGGAAACCCAGCCGTCACGGGCCACCTGGTGTCCCTGTGATCGTCTGAAACTGACCAAGCAGGGCAGTGGCAACAGCATCATGTACCACCCACTGCAGGTCGGATACAGGGCCAAAGACAAGGTGAAAGAGCCCAGAGCCAGCAGAGCCTATCACCACGCTGCCGGGAACCAACTGAAACAGATGTTGACAAGTGTTTTTCAACTACTGGGTCATCGGAAAAGTCAGAATGCCTTTTTGTATAGAAAACAAATCATAACTATTCTGACAACTCAATATTTAAATCAGTGTTCTTTAATCTTGACATTCTTGACACTTAAGACTGACGTCACTGTGGTAGGGGCAACTGTGCACACCCCTGCCCACCCACTAAATACAGGGGCACCTCCTCAACACCTGCTCTGACAACCACAAATTGTCAGATTTCCCTTGGGAGACAAAAGTCACAATTCAAAACCACTTATTTCCTTTTGTTCTTTTTCTTAGAGAGGTTTATGCTATAGGGTGTGTGGCTCGCCAGAAAGAGAGAGAGAGAGATAGAAAGCAAGAAATCACCCCCCAGGGGGGATGGCCATGCCGCAATCTCTTCTCCATTCTCCTCTTGGGACCTTGGGCACTCACACACACACACCCGGTGTGACTTTAAGCCCTGGGGTCCAAGACTCGAACCATGGTTGACTACATGGGAGTCCAGCGACATAGCCATTACGCCAACCACTGGTCCCATAGAATCACTTATTTCTATGGAAATTTCCAGTTAAGCCAGTTTGTGCTTTCTTACAAACCATTCAAAGCAGTCATCTCTCCTCATCTCCTTAGAAGGGTTTAGTATTTTCTCTTTTCTAATCTTATTTTCTTCATACAGCAAAACACAGGTATGAAGCTGCTTGGTGGGCACTTTAAAAAAAGACTTTTAGCCAGTGGTAAGAAACTTGCAGGCCTCCAAGGGTCAGAAAGCCAGGGTGAGTAATGCGTCCAAACACTGTAACACTGGCCAGGATCTCCATTCTTTTTGGTTCATTAAAAAGCAGAGATGAAGAACAGTCTCTGCCCACATAAAACTCATGAGTCATCCCAGCCTTGTCAGCCCCAGCCTAACTCACCCCTTTGTGAGTTCTACAAAAATGGACACTGAGATCCCACTATACCCTCCTTTCCTGTCCCTGCATGGCATTTTCTGGGGTGTTTCACTCAATTCCTAAGCACTTTGGGAAAGGAACAGTAGCCAAACTACCTCATACTAAAATGGACACAGGGAAAAAAAAAAAAATCTGTGCAGTCACCTCAACGGCTGTGCTGACAACACAGCCACTCAGAGATTATGTAATCTTCAACCAGCACCTTCCTCAGAAAGCCAAGGCCTAATAGCTCCTGGGTGCTGCAGATACTGAGCCAGGTTTCCTGGCACAGCTCAATCTATGCAGTGGTTCATGAAGCCGTACTCAGCTCTGGGCTCGATGTCAAAGTGCAATGTTGGGGCCAGTGGCGACGCGGTAAAACATGGCACTCTCAGGCCAGCCCACAGAAGGTGCTTCTCGCTTGTACCTGGAGACTTCCTTGAGTACGCACGGCAAGTGCACGCCTGTGTTCCGGGGCTCAGGAAGCTGGGGGTGGGTCACGGAATGAACACCCTGTTGGAGTAGCTGTCTCTTTCTCTCTCACAGAGAAATAAAATTTTTTTAAAAATTATGAAGGAAAAATGTATCAACGTTAAGCAACTTCAGCAACTGTTTAAATGAACTCTTCTTTATCAACTAAGAAAACAAAAATAATCCAACTATTTAGTTAACATGTTTCTATTGTGATTTCACACTCACAGATTTAAAGGAATGCAAGTAATCTTAAAAACTAGTGCGTTCACCAATCACATGATGGAAACAATGCACACACATAATAAAGGCAACACATACACATCTATCATTAGAACATGAAGCAACATAACTTCTAGAAAGAGCCTGGGCCAGGTCTATTAGTGTCCTCCTACTGCTATGTGACTGTGCCCTTCCGTTAACACTAAACACACTCACCAAGCCTCACTAAATGCCAGCCACGGTCATGGTGCTAGGCTCAAATGGCAACAAGACACACTCTGCCTCTTGGCTAAGGCAGTAATTGCAAAGGCAGCCCTTCCACTAGAAACGGAATGCCACCCCAGTCTCTGTGGAAGCTTGACATGGCTGAAGTGTAAATTTCTGGTTAGGTTTACACTCATGAAATGCACCCTGGTTGCCAGGCGCAACTCTCCAAACCTGGGTTTAGAGTTCAGGAGAGCACTCTAAGTGGATCTTGGCCTGATTCCTTGATTGAACCCCCAGCCACGGCCAGCACAGGCAAGGGTGATGGGAGTGGGCCTCCAGGCATGGGAAATATGAGGGGTACATTGTGCAACGAAACGGAAACCATTTCAAGCAGTCACTAGTCACTGCACGTGGGCTCTTCAAACGTGTTTTATGAACACTTAATCACTTAATCACTGTGGCATCTCTCAAGAATAGTTAACGTGCTGGAAGTTCTTATTTTCTAATTCTTCAGAAAAAAATGGAGTCTCCACAAAGTCTGAATGGATATACACTCTCTTGTTTCTGAGCAGTAACAAAAACAAACAAAAAACAGAAAAAACTTTGCAAACTTTTGTACGTATAAGCTTAATAAATTTTTTCAAGGTACAGCTGGAATTAGTCAAGATACTCTATTTTGCATCATACTGAGTCACTTAACCTCTGCCTTGTCGGGCTTTGCTTTTTCATTTAGAGGCAGCCTAGTACAGTGGAGAAGAGGACTTTAGAATTTGACGTGTGTAGGTTAGAATGCCAACTCTGCCACCCCAGACCACGTGACTGAGAACCCTTCTTACCTGCTGCTCCTCACCTGTGAATGGAGGTAACCCCCAGAGCAGAGAAACTCATGTGACAAGGTACAAGTGCTCAGGGAGCCTCCACTCATTTCCTCCACAAAGAGGCTGTGAAGGTTTGTGTCTCCTCTCCACGGACTGACAATACCAGGGAACTCCACAACGGGACAGCAAGCAACGAGAACCCTGTGGCTGGGCTCCCTTTCTAACTAGCTGTGTTTCTCTAGGAAAAGGACTGAATCTCACAAGGGTTAGGGCTTCCCCTCTGGAAGCTGAGGATGGGTCATAGTGTTTAGGAAAGATAATGAGGCTCCCAGGAAAACAGGGAGTCATGCCGAGCACAGCCCACCTTCGGCATCACTGGCCTAACTCTGCCATTCCCCAGCATCTGGTGTATCTACACTGCTGTGTTTCTATGCCACTTATAAAATATGGAATAAACCAGCCTGGCCAGGGCACAAGCCATCCATGCTGGGCAAGCCCCCACCTACCTGTCGTAGATCTCAGAGCCCTCCTCTAGGCCAGGCAGCAGGCCGACGAGGAAGGCCTGCAGGCTGGGCAGGAGCAGCTTCTGCAGCGGGAGGAAGTACTTCTCATACAGGCCAAGCAGCACGGGCCTCACCGACATCGCCGCGTTTGCCAGCAGAGGAAACAACCCGCAGCTTTGAGAAAGGGCGAACATGAGTAGGGGAGAAATAAGGCACCTAGTCAGAAGTACCAAATGATAAACAAGTGATGTGAAAGTTGTAACAAGCAGACAGATGGACCAGACAGTAGGACATGACGCTCTCAAAGGCTGACGCACATGGGAGGATTCTGTGTTCACATCTGGAGGCCTCCCTGGACACACCAGACACATGCATGCCCGTGATCCGGGACTGTGGTAGGGGGTAGATGGCAGCATGAGAATTCTATTGAGGTTCTGTCTCTCTTGTTCACGGAAGAAATAAACTTTTTAGAAAATTGTTTTGAGGCCGGCAAGTGGTGTGGTGGTTAAAGGTACTCCCACATGGCTGACTACAGTTTGAGTCCACAACCTGGCAGCTTGAAAATCCCATCAGGTGGGGGGGTGTCTGCGTGCGTGTGCACATGCACATGTCCAAAATCCCAGGAGGATAAGGGAGGAGAAGGGATTGTGGTTTGAGTCCAGAACCTGGCGGCTTGAAAATCCCATCAGGTGGGGGGTGTGTGTCTGCGTGCGTGTGCACATGCACATGTCCAAAATCCCAGGAGGATAAGGGAGGAGAAGGGATTGTGGTACAGCCATCCGCCCTAAGGACTGCTTTCTCATTTTCCCTTTCTGTCTTTCTCCCTCTCCTTGACAAACCACTGTGGCATGGCAATCTTCCCTTCTGGGAGGTGGGGGGTGACTTCTCACTTTCCCTCTCTCTGATGAGCACACGTGCCTTATGGCTAAAACCCACACAAACAAACTAAAAAAGAAGACAGAGAGGTGAGATGGATACAAACTGGTGACACAGGTGCACGTTTGGTAGGACAGTGACAAAACGCTGTTAAGCAAAGGGCAGGCAACCAAGTTGGATATACACTCGGAGGCTAGAGAAGGCTTGGAGAAAAGTCTGGATGGACCTCCTCCTGAAGGTGAACAGTGGTTACCTCCTGGTGATGGCTCTATGATTCCCGTTGCGCTCCTCCCCCACCCCTTCGTTGTTTGCCATTTTCTTTTTTTCTTTCTTTTTTTTTGAGAGGTTTTTGCTATAGGGGTTTTTGCTTTA